AAGATGATCATATTATCCTAGGACACTGCAACCATCATAAATGTGAATCATTTGTCAAGCATCCAAATGAAAATCCCATGACCATGAGGATGCTGTAACAGTCATAAATGTGAAAAATGGTCATAAGTCACTTTTTTCAGTGCCGTTGTAACTTCAAATGGTCACTAAGCGAGCTGCTGTAAGACGAGGACTACCTGTTTAGGGTTACAGTATAAAACATGTCAGATAAATATACATTTAAGAGAAGAGCCTGTAGTACAGTGGACTAATGCACTGTTATTAACATCTGCTGCTTGCAATTACTGCAAGTTCAAATCTCACCAGGTTCAAGGTTGACTCAGTCTTTCATCCTTTCAAAGGTAGGTGAAATGAGGACCCAGATTGTGGGGGCAATAAACTGACTTTGTATAAATATACAAAAGTATGAAGGCTATTGCTTAACGCATTGTAAGCCGCCCTGAGTCTCCAGAGAAGGGCAGCATATAAATTAAAGCAAAAAAAAAAAAAAAATCTGAGCTCAGTATAGTGTTGCTTTTTTGCCTTTTAGAACATGAGAATACCCAACAAATTATAAGCAATAATTGTTACATTTTGTGGGGTTAAAGAAGCCTTGTCACATTTACTACTGGGGGAATCATGGACGTTGATTAGCAATTACATACTGAAGTTTCTTTGTATGGGGGGGCTATATAGAACTGTTTATTATGTTTATATAAAACATAAAAAGGAAAAGAACAAATGAGAGGAAAGAAAAAGGAAGTAACAAAAGCATACAATGTTACAATAGATAATGAATGTTTTGTTGCAATTTCATTCTGAATGTATACTTGTGTATTGATATGTATTTGTTCTCTCCTTATGAATTGGCTCTTTATCAATATAGTAGAAAGACTGATCAATATTATTCCATGTGGTAAATTTTAATGTTGTATCTAATAATTTTTTTTCTTATGCATTGTAATACACTTTTATTGAGATTCTAAAAATATTTCAAGACACTAACTTTTTCTTAGGTCTTAGTACTGATCTCTATAAACTAAAAACACATTCTAAAATGGCCAAAGTCTATTTTGGTGGCAATTAACAAAGAAGCAATAGCACATATCATAAATTATTTGTATCAACTCTGATTCACTAGAAGCAGTATCTCCACCCAAGACTATGCAGCATCTTTCAGACCTTCATAATTTTATGTAACTTCTGTAGCAGTTAGATTTTTGCACCTTGGCATTCTTAGATGATTTAAAACCTGTTGTATTGGAACATAATATTAACAGTACTGTCATATTCAACAAACAAGATACAAGGAAATTTATATAAAATCAAGTAGTTTTTATATTTTCCACATCTGTTGCAAAATGCATCGATCATTTTGTTGATCAATGTTTTAAATGTCACTTTTGGAAGCAGAGAAGTGATAAAAGAGATCACTAACCTGAAAGCCAACTAGATTTGGTATGAATTTTTTTGGCATTTAACTTGTAGATTTTAAACAGCACATTATGTCAGTTGATAAAGGCAATAATTTACAAGTTTGGTGCATCTATATCTGTATCTGTATTTATATCTACCTATATATCTATATCAACAATCTAACTTCTTTCTCCATTTTTTTCCACAGTTCTGAGGGCCTGGTGGCTCAGCAGACTGATAGCATTGTGATTAACACCAGCTTCTGCAATTACTGTAAGTTCGAATCTCACCAGGCTCAAAGTTGACTCAGCCTTCCATCCTTTCTAAGGTAGGTAAATTGAGGACCCAGTTTGTAGGGGCAATAAGCTGACTTTATATAAATATACAAAAGTATGAAGGCTATTGCTTAACACATTGTAAGCCGCCCTGAGTCTCTGGAGAAGGGCAGCATATAAATCAAATTAAAAAAAAAAATCTACTGAAACTGGTATTACTTTTGAAGGAAATCTCACACTGGCACCAATAGCAAATTTCATACCAATGTAATTATTAATTTTAAAATTAATGTAATTTAAATGGATTTTCCTAAGAGTTTAATCAGAGGAAGTACTTTTACTCCCCACCATCCTTACTGGAAATGATCTATATTAATTGTCAATTTTCACTACATGCATATTTCATCGATATTTTTAAAAATCTTCAGAGTAATATTATTTAACAGAAAGTTTAAACAGAAAATCAAAATAATTATGGTGTGCATTTCACTCTGATATTGAACTTAAGTTTTCACTAGAAACAAAGACAGAATAAGAATTTTTATCCAGCATCAACCTATTAAAATCAACCTTTAAGCATCCCATGCTTTTAAAATAATGTTTCATTTTTTTGTGGCAGGTATTATATACTTGTAAAAAAACAACTTGAGCAAAACATTTCTTTTAATTACTATTCAGTTTTAAAATCCATACCATCATTGGTGGTAGAACCTAGCACCTCTTGGTGATCTTATTTTTTAAGATCAGAATAATGAGAAAAAGACCAAATTAATACTTAGATGAGAGATCACCAAGTGAACTGAGGACTGTAGACAAGATTAGGAAATTGAATAAAAAAGACTTCCTGGAAGAAAGCAATAAGCCTTCTTTTATAGATCTATATATTGTTTCCAAGACAACATGGATATTTTGGTTAGTCACAAGAATCAAGCTTGAGTTGACTTTTTTTTAGAATTCATAGGCCTTTCAGGAATTTGTAGGAGTCCAAGCACACACAAAAAAATCACAGTGATGTGTAAATGACTAGGAAAACAATGTGAATAAAAAACTTGATCTTTCAACAAGCAAATTCATATTTCAACATCTCCTGTTGATTATAGTGCCACCCTACACCAAACTCTGTAGTTTGAAAATGATTGGCACTTTTTTCTGAAAATTATAATGCAGGGTTATATTTAATATAAGTAAAATTTTCAGAACTTATAAATATTGATAATTTATGAAAAAGTATCCACACAATGATAAATAATGCCATGCAAATCTGATAAAGAAACGGAAAGCCTTGTGACCAAATCTATCTTTTACTTTTACCTCCCCACTCCCCCCCCCCAAAAAAAAACAAAGGGGGAAGGAAGAGAAATTAGCAATCCTGGTTTGGTAAAGTTATATAATGACATTGTGCACACTCAAAGAATGCTATAATGCACCGTGGAGCAGTATATAAGTCTAAGTGCTACTGCCATTGCTATAATAAAGGTGGTACTGAATGTACTTTAATCATATTCCAATTATGAAGAAAAATTTAAAGTATGCCCCAAAATAAGGGCCAAAAGTAGCACAAGACGTTTGACAAATTAATCATGCTAAATCCTATACCTGTTAAGTATTGAGCAAATACAAGCAACTGAAAGAATCTGGAATTTACTGAGTAAGTGCAGCTCTTTGAACACATTCTGTTAATAAGTCACATTCTCAGTGCCACACCTTTATTGGTAATGTATTTGTGTATATTTATATGATCAGTCTGTGCTGATCAAATCATATTTTCTCAAACACAAATAATTGTCTATACCTTACTTTGAATTTAGGGACTTATATCATGTAAATATTCCATCGTTTGTTTTACAATAATTAAAAATAGCCACTACTCTACCAATATTTTTCTTATCATCTGTCCTAAACCAATGCTTTAGGTTTTTTTTTTATATAAAAAGTGGTTCCTTCCTAAATTCCTTAAAGAATTAAAATAAGCCAAAAACTTTTTAAAAAGAAAGATTAAAAAATACCAGGGACAAACAAAAAGCAAAAGCAGAATACTTGGAAACAAAATATTTCTATTAACCACATTGCCTATTCAGATCACACATGCTTAACTAGTCTACTGAGAATGTGACATATGTCACACTGAGCTATAATCCATTAAAAGTTAAATACAGATTCATTCATCTTTTCTTTCATAACAGGCTTTATTCCAGAGAGTAAAGAGTAATCTTCACCTCTAAATCAAGCTGAAATTAAAAGTTGAATTGTCTTATGTTCCCAATGAACTCTGTGGATTATATTATGCATGACACTACATGCCACTTGATATTGTAGAAATAATTGGTTTGGCAAATAAACTACATATTTAGAAAAAGAGTTGTTAAAAACAATATACATTAAGTATCCATATATTGCACTTCCATATTTAGTAATGTCATAACTTTATAACTAATACTGTATGTGCTAAGAGTTGACAATGTTATCAAGTCATCATACACTATATACTTTTAGAAAGTTTCTTAATAGCATTCCCAGTGATCTTCCAATCACAACTGTTTGTCATTAAATTCAGAAAGTACAAGCCAAAAACCTATAGCTATTATACCACCACCACCCCCCCCCCCCCCCCCGTTATTTCTGAAGAAGCCTTGGCCAAGAAATTCATCACTAGTGATAAATGGTGCAACAAGATATGGTTGAGCTTGGAATAAGGAGAAAGAAAGTGGGGACACATTATTGAACTAAAGATTTGAAAATATCCGTTATTGAAGATCAGGTTGGACAGGGAACAAAAATCTTAACATTTGTGTGCATGCATGCATGTATACATGCATGCACGCGTGCATATCTCCCTGTTTGCCAATGGAAAGGAAGTGAATAAATAACGAGAGGTGACCACAGGCAGAAAAGAGGCATGGCCTTCTCTAGAGCGGTTGTGCATGCAAATTAAAGAAGAAACGGGAGCTTCGGAGCGATACGAAGAGACTGGAGCAAGGAAGGGAGTGGGAAGAAGAGGGCTGAGCCTTCAGGAGCTCGCCAAGGTTGGCCTCGGCTCTAAATCCGCAGAGGAGCAGCTGGTGGAACTGCAGCTACTGCGCACAAGACTTTGTGGGCTCTCTAATTCAGAGAAAGGTTGAGGGGAAAGTATGGAGGATGCGAAAGGAAAAAAGAATTTAAAAAGCCGCCCCATACATCAGGCTGGAAAGACCGAGGGCAGGGGGCACAAACTTCGCTCGCTCTGCTTTCCTAATTCGCCTCCAAACTTTATTTATATAGCCCCTGTGGCGGGGGAGGGGGGGAGGAAAAGCGAGAGGAGGGAAAAAAACTGACCGGTTCCACCGGAAATAATAAACCTGAGAGACCCGAAGTATCCCCTTCCCCGATTCTTCCTCCGGCGCCTGTGCCCCACGACTCCATCCGTCCGTTTAAGTCTCTCCCTGATCCCGGTTCTTGTCAGGGTGCCAAAGCGACGCCTCTCCAGCTCGCTCTCTCCCCGGAGTCCCTAACCTCAGTCGCGGCCATTTCCATTTTCTTCCTCGTCGTCCTCGCCCTCTTCTCCCCGCCCTCCCGTACCCCTCCCCCGGCGAAAAGCCAACCGGGGCCCTCGCGCTTACCTCCCAAAATGAGGTTCGTGGCATTCCCGCCGGCCGTTTCCGCGACTACCATTGCCGTCTTCAGGAAGCAGCGGCTGCAGCCCTGTCTGGAGCGAGCGCCGGCCCGCCTGTCCGCAGCCCGTCAGAGGGCTCTGAGCGCGCGCGCCCGCGCGCACCTCCCCTTGCTCCAAAGGCCACCCGTGACAAGCGGACGCGAACTCAAGACAGTTAATTCTAGCGTGGGGACTCGGGAGCTCCGACGAGTGGCGGTTTAAGGGAAGGGAAGGGGAGGAGAAAGCGGCCGCCGCTCTTCGAAGCAACTCATGAAGCCACCGCCTCCGACGCCGTTACGAAAGCGCACAATATCTGCACTCGCACAACTACACAATGCCCTTTCAGGAAGCTGCCCTCACCCTCTCCACAGGGTATCTGCGTCTCTGTGTGTAAATGTCCTCCTCCTTTCTCCCTGATTCGGGGCTCTGCTGCAATGCCTGCGAGGCTGACTTTCAAAGCCTCACCCGCAGCCTACGATCTTCCCTCCCTCCCCTCCCTTCTTTCCAGTCTGTCAGTCCCTCCCTTCATTTCGCTCTCGCTCTCTCGCTCTGCCATTCATAGGTTTAGCCAAGTTTCGCTGGTTTAACCTTTTTCTTTCCCACCACCAGCTAGGAAAATCTGAGGGAGAAGGGGGAGGGGTGTATCTTTGAAACAGATCACAGCTGACTATTTGGCACTGTCTCATGGAAGGCTACAAGGCTTGCAAATAAAGTTGATTTCAAAGTTGATTTGAATGTACAGTCAACAAACAGGCATGACAAACCAAGGCTTGCTTGTGTGTGTTAACCGCAGTGCAATTTAACATGAATTGCTTTAGACTTTTCAGGTGACGGTAATTAAGGAAGTTCAAATAATTTCCTCAGATGAATGATTTCATGTTGGCTCACAATGAACTGATACAGAGCAAATATTCAAATTTAGCCATATATGAATGAGCTAGAAGAATGATCAATAAATTGAAATCTTTTTAATGTATATGAAACTGTAACAAATATGACAACTATATGTTATCTAAAACATTAAAGGTGAAAGGAAATACAATAGTCAGATGCCCCCCTAATAAAAAAGTCTTTTAAGTGTTGTAAAAATTCCAGTACTTAGGAGCAAGAGACCTAAATAACATTGTCTTCCGATAATAGAAACAATAATGTAATTATATTTTCCCTTAAGACTTTCTAAAGAGGAAATAGATAAATATCTTTATGATGCACTTGCATTTCACCTTACTGCATTATATTTCAGTTGTTGCTTTAATTCTTCTACCAGATTTTATTTCATGTCTATCATTTTTGAGTTCCTCAAAAAATTCTGTCTGACATTCAGTCAAAATGTAGTTAGATCAGGAGTAGGCAATTCATTTTCCCAAGTGGCCACATGAGAAACTGGAACTGCTGTGGAAGGCTGCTGACCACTTCTGCTGCCCCCTGCCACCCCCAGCCACCACTGCTCTCTCATTGCCACTATTGCCCCCCTGCCACCACCACAGGCTAGACAGAAACAGCCAAATGGGTGGATGTTGCCTGCGGGTCATAAAATGTGCATGCCTGGGTTAGATGAACCAAGAATTTAAGTTACTATAATAATTGTATTGAACAATTAGATAATAGGCAAAGAATTTTTGCCTCATAAAGGACCACCTGCTCTCTTCCAGTGTTACGGTTTTATAGACAACAGGATAACAACTTCATTAACTTGTCAAATTCCTGGTCAGTTATCAAGTGTTATAGCAAAATGTAATAACAGTGGTGCAATATTAATATTCTTGCAGTTGAATATTTACATGATACCATGTTATTGATTCAGAACCCAACTGATTTGCAGTAAATGTTGGCTTGTGTCTGACACAACAAAATACTTAAAAAGTGTTTAATACAGGTAGTCCTCGACTTACGACCACAACTGAACCCAAAATTTATGTTGCTAAATGAGATAGTTTTTAAGTGAGTTTTGCCCCATTTGATGACCTTTTTTGCAGCAGTTGTTAAATGAATCACTGCAGTTGTTAAATTAGCAACACAGTTAAGTGAATCTGGCTTTCCCATTGACTTGGCTTGTCAGAAGGTTACAAAAGGTGATCACCTGTCCCTGGGACACTGCAACCATCATAAATATGAGTCAGCTGCCAAGTATCTGAATTTTGATCACATGACCATGGGGATGCTGCAAAGTGGAAATGTGGAAAACAGTCATCAGTCATTTTTCAATGCCATTGTAACTTTGAACAGTCACTAAATGAACTGTTGTAAGTCACGGACTACCTGTATATTAATAATTGAAACAATGATTAATGGGTGGGTCGCTAATGTTTACATAGTCTTACATATCATTTTATATAACTTGGGTTAAAGTGTTGGTCCTACAGCCTTCAAGATTCATTTCTTTACAGAGAATCTATCATGACACATCTTGAAACTTAATGTAACACATCTTGAAACACTAACTTAATGTAAGTTCAGCATTTGATTCAACATTAATACTTTAAGAATGGGAAAGTAATACTGTATTTCATGTGAGGCAAATTATTTTCAGTTTTAGTAATTAATTTCAATCATTGGTTAGACTAAGCTATATAAATTCAAACAAACTCTGCAAAATAGTAGGAAAAGATTAACATAGAAGAAGAAAGATAAAAAATAATTATTTCATAATAGAATTAACTTAAAAATTTAGTGTTATTGCTATATGTAAAAAGTTGTGAAGAGCAGGCACTGATTAGTTGAAAGAAATCTGTTATTTAAAGAAAGGCTTTGTATAAAATATACTAACACTGAATATACTCAGTGTCACTAATATGTATTTCATGAAATTAAATAATGACAACAGTAAAAACAAATAGAATTTATATGTACCTACTTCTTGCACCATTCCATTTCTAACTTATGCAAAGTGTTAAAAAGGAAAAATAAAATGCCGTGTAAAATATATACAATCAGAGAAAAATAAAGAATAAATAAGCAAATAAACAATTTGCTTAAGCAAATTAATACAAACCATATCTCTTAACATATTCAACACTCAATTCCATATAATAAAATGGGCAGAAGGCAGAATACATACATACATTTTTTTCTCCTTTGTGACAAATACTTATTCCTTACAACAAATTATGTTTTTCTTACAATCTTTCTTTCAGAACTTGAATTTCTTGAAATTTCTCTATCCAAGCTACACAAATTCTCTAGCTTTTTGTTGTTTCTTTGTTTTGTTTTGCTTTGTTTTGTTTTTTATCTAGCATTCATATAGAACTGCATGGTTAACTATTTTACTCTGTCAAGCTCAGCTACTTTGACCTTCAACACATTACTTTTCAGATCTATACATTCTGCCCACACAAACCAACATTCATTGCAAATCATTTGGGTTCTGAATCAACAAACTGGCATTATTTAAATACAAAACTATACACATATTTCTACTAAATTAACCAACCATTAGCATTTACCACAAACATTCTGTCTGCTTTTATACATAAATACATTTTATGGAACATTCTTCCTCTAGAGATCAGAATGGCCTTAACTCTGCTAGTCTTTTGTAAGGTCTGTTTCTGTGTCTGAGCCAGAGGCCCCAAATGTGTGAAGCTGTTTCCTGGCTGTGTTAATGTTTGTGGATTATTATATTCCTTGGCTACTGTGTATTTTAATTTTTGAAATCTGTTGTAATTATTTTTATTTTATTTTAATATTGCTTTCTGCCTAAAGTCATTTGCAATGGGCAAATATACAAATTGATTCAATAAATAAACAAAGGACATCAGGCATCATTGTTCTATTTCCTCCTCAATGTAGAATATATACATTTGATTTATTCTCATTCATGCCTTATTTCCATATATTTTTCTAATTCCATTAAACAACTAGTCTTCAATTCTATATTCATACAAACTTTTCAAAACTGAAGCCCAGTGACCATTTTATCAGTCCCCTTCAGTCATAATTCTGCCAGATAAATTTACGAGTACATTTAACAGCTTAATTTTCCCTGTAATTTTTGTTTTCAATCTACCTAACTTCTCTTAAAGTAGAGGAAAAATAGCATTGTTCATATCAATAAATATTTGTCCAGCAACCCTGAACAATTCACAGATAAAGCACCATGGAACCATACATATACACACACACACACACACGGGACCAAAAGACCAATTAGGTCTTATTTTTGAGGCAATGTCTTATTTTGCAGCAGGCTGCCTTCTCCATCCCATCATCTGCTTCCCGTGGCCACAACAATATACAGGGCTTCCCAGGGCAGACACACTTTTTGCCCGGACAGAGAAATGATGGAGATTGGACACTTCGCTTGCTTGCAAATAGGGCATTTTGAAACTGAGTGATTAGCTCCATTTCAAAATGCTCAATTTGCAAGCAGATGAAGCTTCCAGTCTCACTCTGAGTGGAAAAGTGTGCAGCAGAGCGAGGTGGAGGCAGAGGCAAACAATCCCAACGTACCGTCCGTTCCATCCCACCATCTCTCAGCTTGCCCACAGCTGCGTCAGGGCAAGCACCTACACAGGGCATTGGGATTGCCTGCCTCCCCACATGCCTCTGCCTTCACTTGGTGCCGGTGCCACTGTGCAAGCCTCCCACTAGCCTCCCGTGAGCCAGGCAGCCATGCAGCATGTCCGGATCGCCTGTCTCTCCCCCCCCCCAAATTTGCCTCTGGGCTCAGACTTATCTGTGCTGTGCCATTGGCCCCTGCACGCTCACCACCTCTTGTGCTGGCCATGCCCATCCCGCGGGCTTATTTTTGGGATAGGGCTTATATTAGGCCCACCCCAAAAAATCAGGCTAGGGCTTATTTTCAGGGTGGGTCTTATTTTGGGGGAAACACGGTGTAATGATAAAAGCAAACAACAAAAATAGCACAAACCAGAAAGCAATTAAAGCAAACCCTATTACCCAGAAGGGAGTTTAATCAACCTGGTCAAGGAGCCAAGTCTTCAAGATTCTGCAAAATAACTGCAGATTGGAGTCTATCCAGATATTCATTCTGGATAGCAGGCACTATAGCATACTTTTGGAGTCCCAATAGATGGCATAGTTTAA